TACCTCTTAAGATTGTAACTATCTTTGATACTACTACTTCAGTGCTGATGTCTTTAGGTACATACATCATCCTCTGCTAATTCAAGCTTTAGTATTGCCTTAAACTTTAATTTTGCTTTTTCAAAGGATTGTCAAATGGATTTATGTCTTTTTTTAAAATACAGCATTGCTTATTTTGAGAGAAGTTTATATTCATCATGGGAAAGAGTGAAGGATTAGGGATCAAGCCTGTGATGGCATTGGTGTTACAGGTTTCTTGCAACTGTGTAAAAAGAAATGCTCTGTGTTTTTTGTTTTCTCATAACATCCCCAGTGTATACTCGAACAGTCTTTCAGTATGGGTAAAGTGCTCTCATTTATTTTCACTGTTCTTCTTCAGGTGCTGTTCTGCATCCTCAGCCTTGCATTGGCAGGTCAGCCCTGAGTCTAGTCCAGCATTTACATGTTGCAGGGTGTGAGTCCTGTTACTGCAAAGGAGCAGGAATGTTTCAGTAGGTGCTGCTTTAAGGGCTGTTTTAGCACTACAGCTTTCTTGGAAACATGGTGATTTATCAATGCATAGTCTTTTAACCAATTTGAGATATTCACATTTTGCACTTCCAGCTGTTGAGATGTGCCCCAAATCTCTGCTTATCACCATTTGCTCTGGTTCTTCTGTTGCTCTTGTACATATGTACAGCAGGCAAACTGCACATCGCTGTGTACAGCTGGTCTGCATTCCTCCATATCTGCTCTCTCCTGCCACTCCACACCTGCCCTGCATGAGGTTAAACAACTCCTGCCTCCTGCCCAAATGTTCAATGGGGCCATTTGTAAGCCAGTGAAGCAAATAGTAAGTCTTATATTTAGGGCATCACACCACCACCAGTGTGACACGCAGCCATGAAATCACAAGCAGGAAGGCAACAATGACACCCCCAAAATCAGCCTGAGAAGCTGTTCTTTTTCATCAGAATTGTTGGTAGTTTAAAATAGTCCTTTACAATGTCTTTGGTAAGGGATTTAAAATCCTAATCCATATCATTTTACATATGTATTGAATTAAAGTTTAAGATTTGTCATTCATCCTAAAAGTGCATTTACAAACTTCAGCATGGGTCTTGCATATCTGCCATGAGATAAAGAAAATCAAAATCTCATTAGTCAAGCCTTGACCCATACTTAAGCAGTTAATATCGAAGACTTACGTTACTATCTTTATTCCCCTGGTTCACTTACTTCCCTCTAAACAATCACAACATCCTCTTAATGGAGGCACTAATCTTCATGACAGGAGCTCTGACTGCTGATCTACTGGCAGCAAATAGATCAGTCATTGGGAAGCAATGAGCATAATTAGATTCCTGGACGAGATGTCAATATGTGGAACCATCTTGAGGGAAGTCACCATTCATCTCTGAAATTCTTTGGCCACTGCTTGCCATTCCATTCTTGGGACTAGCACATCCTGAGTGGACCTTCACAAGGAGATGGCTATACAGAAACAGCTGCTTTCATGGTCCCCGTTCTTCATATGTCATGTCACAGCGGCATAGAATCATTGAATTGCAGAATGGTTTGTTCTCGAAGGGACCTTAAGGAGCACCTAATTCACCCTTCTGCCATGGGCAGGGACACTTTCCATTAGACCACGTTGCTCAAAGCCCCATCTTCCAACTCTTTGAAGTCATCCACCAAGATAAGGGCCAATGTGGTGAAGAACAGTTCAGTATTAGTGTCTGTCAGAAAGATGGTGTACGGTATTTTGAATATAGCACCCAGAACATTAGCAGCAAATGTAGTCTGGAGCATTGAACATGCAAAAAGGGGTACATTGTTAGCTTGACCCCATAGGATGAATCCTTAGTCTTTTCATGGGTTTTGAAACACATTGCAAAGGGCAGACAAAAGGTATTTCACTGCAGAATAGCACACAGGCTCTGAATTCTTTGCCGTTATGTGGAGAAATGCAAACATCACCCCCCAGCAGCACCTTTCTGAAAGTGAAACTCGTGGAAGAGTCTACAGCAGGAGACTCTGCTGTAGACTGGGCGCTGGCAGGGCTGGAGTGCCGTCTGCCGAGCCACCAGCCCTGCCACCCCGGCAGCTTGGTGATCCAGCCACTATTTAAATTATTTCGTATATACAACCTGAGGTATTTAAATTATTTCGTGTATACAACCACATGTTTAAATGCATAAACCTCGCAATTGTGTTCTGCGTTGCCCCTGAAAGGGTAAAATCAGCTGTAAGTCAACAATCCATTAAAAAAAAAAAGAGATAGATTTAACTAGGTTCTTTTCTAAGTTGAGAGCATAGCACATATTTTCTAAGCAGTGATGCACAGATTACTGAGACACGCCACCTGTACATCTATGAGACTTCAGAGAAACAGCAGAATTTCAATGGGAAGCACAAAAATTCTGATGTTTATCTAAGAACTACCAGGTATTATTCCGTAAAAGCAAAAGTTTTAAGCACCTTCACCTGGATCATTAATACAGTGGTTATTAAGACTGTCAGGACACAAGCATTTCCATGTGACTGGAAGCGTGCTGCCTGCACACAGTTTCACCTGGCTTTTGTTCAACAGAAATGTTGTGTCCTGTCCAGGCTTCTTGTGGTGCTTGGTGATTGAAGGAGTAAGTAGGTTTTCAGTTCTTCACCTTCCCAGTACATTTAGTACAAAGAGCATTTGGTGGTTCTGGGAAAACCAAAGTCACGATTCATTGCCTGCCTTTTGATTGGTAATTTAAAAGGTGCAGTAAAAAAATTCAAGCAGCCTTTGAATTGCAGACAGTGGAAGAATAAAATGCACTCAGTAGCCTTCTGTTGTCCAACTTGTGTGAACATATTGGCTCCTGTATAGTAGCCTCCATAACTGTATTTGTCTTGATTGGTGACATTCTCTTGGCTTCTTTTGAAACAGATTGTCCACAAAAAGGAAAGATATTTTTAGCTTGCTGACCATAGCATGTGCACACTAAGGAGAAATTATTATTGCCTAAGGGACAGCAAAAGACAATACAAATCAGTATTGTAGTAGTAAGTGTTACTGTTCTCTGTAGCTGAGAACTGCTTTTAGGTATTTTTCAGTATTTTCCTGTTTTATTTGTGTTAAACTGTAGTTATCTAGTTTAAACTAGCTTTTTGTTGTCATTAAAGAAAAAGAAGATCTGACTTTCTAACATCATTTATGGAATACTTGAAAATTTGCTGCTTCATCTATTAGGGCAAACATCACTGAGGATTATATTGAAAATCCAAATTTGTAATTCCTAATTTCTTAAGGAAGCAAAAACTGTTTATTCACCTTTACATACATCTCAGATGTATCTTTGTAGTATCTCTTGCCGTAAATTTCCTCATCCAGAGAGTTGCACTGACCTATTTCTTTGCTGGATTTTACACTGCAGTGAGAGAAATGCCAAATATAAAATCCTGAATTCAGAGAAATGTGTTTATTAGAAAATCTACCATGCTGTCAAAATCAAGAAATATTTAGCAACAACATCCAAAACTGCAGATTAATCAGCTGCAGTAGATGGAATCATAGAGAATAATCAGAAATGCTGCTCAGTAACAGACAGTGATGTTCCTGCAACAGCTGCAGAATGTCTGTGACAATGTAAGATGCTATTTCTCCCTTGAATCTCTGATTTTACTGCCTTCACAGGATATATGGTTTATTATATCTGCTGGAGAATCAAGTTTAAAGATTCAGTATATAAGGTAATTGCCTTCTTTGCCCTGGTGAAAATGTTCTCCTTTCTAGTTTTACAAGTATATGTCTGTGTTTATTTGTTTGTTTTTTTTTTCAATTAATCAAATAAATTAAAATTAACTGAAAACCCAAACAGCAACTCTGTTCATATAATTAAAAATTAATTTATAAAACTATCATTTCTTTGTTACACAAAGAAGATTCCTTTATGTATCTATGATTTCACCTTTTCTGAAACATTAAGACATGCTTTTTTGCAGGGTTTTTTGGTTTCAGGTCAATAATTTCGAATGATGGTAAACAATCCACTGAACACAAAGTCTTGAACTACAGTAGGGTCTGGTAGAATCATTAGACCTCACCCAATTTTCTGTAACAGCTCCTTGTCTGTGGTGATGTAGAACTGGTGTGCAACTCTTATGAGCAAAACTGATTCAGTAGCTGCAAAATTATGGAGAAGAACCAATTCAGGATATAGTATGAATCAGCAAAGTGTCCTTTCATGGCTTCACCTGTTTCCTGCTTTTAATTATGTTCCTCTCTTGCAATGGCTCTGCTGCTGCAGTTCCATCCAGCTTGTGTCCCTCTGCCTTGGCTGCAGTGCTGGTGTGTTGAATGTTGTCCTCAGCACACACCTTCAACTGGACTTACCAGTACTGCTGTAATGTCAGGGTTTATTTGCACTAACCCAGCAGATGGGTATAGATACATATATATATATGTACATGTACACACAGAGATATAGATACCTAGGTAGATAGAGATATATAGACAGATATAGATGTGGATAGTTGTGTGTAGATACTTTTTCCCCAGTGATTTCTGAGAGATGATTTTGCTCATTTTGTTCCAGGAGTGGGCAGAGACAGTAGCATTTCCTACTGTTGTTTTGAATGTGAATAGTGGTGTTGTGCCTAAAAGAACAGCTTGTTCAAACAAGCACAAAAATTTTCAAATTTCAGATGGGAGCCCAGCTGGGGCTGTCTTCTGCAGCCTAAAGCAACATCTCCAACAACAAACACAATGACTCTCCCTTTTCCTCTAAAAACCACTCAAGAAATAAGCCTTATTGGGGGAGAGATCAACAGTCATTCTGCATTTCAAGGATGTGAAAAACATTGCCAGAGTGATTTGCTATCAGTCTCTAAATATCTGCCTTCTATACAGTACTCTTAAGTGATATGTAGCTGAGGTTTTTTAAACTCTTGGTTTTCCTGAGTTTTGGAGGGAAAACCTGCTCAGTCCACAGAGCTGTAAACCAAATTGGGATCAAAACACTTTATTGATCTGTCAACAATATGGAATTAAGCAGCAATCAAAATGTTACATTCAAGAGTAATGCAACAAGTAAACCCTCAGACTAGACATATTAATGTTAATTAACACCAGCAATTCAAACACTCTCTGCAACAAATGCAAGAGACTTCTGAAATGCTACAAGCCTGCCTGACCACACATGCACATTGTTTTAATACTTGTGAGCATCAACTCTGAAACAGATTCAGGAAAATAAAACCCTGTTTCCACTTGTAACCTTTTTGATTTGTCTTCTTGAAAGTGGTTTTTGTAGCTCACAAACGCTTGACATTTCGTGAAAATAATGGTGTAATTTTTATTCAATTAATTGTGAGTACAGGGAAGAGAATGGAACAGAAGAAAATCCTTACTGTGAGGGTGGTGAGGCACTGGAATAGAATGCTCCAAAAAGTTATGGATGCTCCGTCCCTGGAAGCATTTAAGGCCAGGTTGGATGAAGCTCTGAGAAACTTGGTCTAGTGAAAGTAAGACAAATTCCTCTGTCTACAGAGGGAGAATTGAAACTACGTGATGTTTAAAGTTTCCAACCCAGGCCATTCTATGATTCTATTAATAAAATAGAATAGTTATGCAGTGTTAAGACCAGCATTATGCATGGCAAACTCTGATGTAGAAGTGAAGGGTCCATCCAGGACAGCATCTCAATGCTTTGCACATCCCAGGCCCATCCAGCACACAGGGGCAGAGATGGACACAGAAGGGGAAAAGTGGGCTCTAGAAGAATATAATAATAAATAGTGACTTTCTTAAAAAAAGAGAGTACCCCTGACTGAAATAATTTAATCTAGAAATTATCAAGAAGAAAAAAACCTGCCACCATCTTCTTTTCATTATGATTTCCCAGAGCTAGAGAAACCAGCTGCTCTTGGCTTGGACAGGTGCACTGGGTAAAAAACTTGTTGGATGGCTAATCCCAGAGAGTGGTGATGAATGGTGCTACCTCCAGTTGTTGGTAAGTCACAAGAGGTTCCAGAGGGCTCAGCAGTGGGACCAGTCCTGTTCTTTATTGTTCATCTTTATTGATGATGCAGATGAGGGGATTGAGTGCATCCTCAGTCAGTTCATGGACAACACTAAGGTGAGCAGGAGTGATGGAAGGCTCTGCAGGGGAATCTGGACAGGCTGGGTCGATGGGCCAAGGCCCATGGTCTGAGGTTCAACAAGGCAAAATGTTGGGTCCTGCATTTGGGTCACAACAATGCCATGCAGCGCCACAGGCTGGGGCACAGTGGCTGGAAAGTGGCCCAGCAGAAAAGGACCTGGGGACAGCAGGCAAATGTGGGCCCAGCGTGAGCCCAGGTGGTCAAGAAGGCCAATGGCAGCCTGGCTTGAACCAAGGATAGTGCAGCCAGCAGGACCAGCGCAGGGATTGCCACACCTCAAATCCTGTGTCCAGTTTTGGGCCTCTCATGACAAGAGAAGACATTGAGGTACTGGAGCGAGTCCAGAGAAGGGCAACGGAGCTGGGGAAGGGTCTGGAGAGTGAGTCCTGTGTGGAGTGTCTGAGGGAGCTGGGGTCACTTAGCCTGGAGAAGAGGAGGTTCAGAGGGGTCTTGTCACTCTCTACAGCTGCTTGAAAGAAGGTTGTAGCTAGGCTGAGGTCAGTCTCTTTTCCCAAACAAGCTACATGACAAGAGAAAATGGCCTCAAGTTGCACCAGAAGAAGTTTAGATTGAATATTAGGAATTTTTTTTTGCTGAAAGGCTTGTCAGTCATTGGAACAGGCTGCCCATGGGAAGCAGTAGATTCACCATCCCTATAGGTATTTAAAGGATGTGTATATATGACACTTAGGGACACAGTTTAGCAATGGACTTGGCAGTGCTGGGTTAGTGTTTGGACTCAATGACCTTAAAGGTCTTTTCCAACCTAAATGATTCTTAGATTCTAAGTTTCTTTAACATCCATTTTCTTTATAAAGACAGAACTTCTTGATTGTTGAACTTGCTTATAGAAACTCAGGCAACAAGGCCCAGTGCTTTTCAACAAAGATTCTGGAGCAAAACTACATACACATTTCAAATTGTAACTCTGCAGAGCAATGCACCTGGATAACATTTCTGGGAAGGAGAAATTGTATATAGAAGCCAATGATGCCTCCTCTGGTCTAAGCAAATCTGTGGGATTTACACATTCAATCAAGGAAAACAAACCAAACTCTGCCATCCCATCCCCATAAGGGTGACCTTTTCACCAGATCAAAATATTTTGGCAGACATTGCAATGCATGCAAGTACTTGACCACTTACTTTATCTAGTAAGAAAATCCACCACAAAATGTTATTGCATTCTCGAACACCATGGCATCAACGCCAGCATCTTAAGACAATATGAACTTCCATCTGGCAGGTGCCATCTGGAGCCCTGGGAATCATATCCAGTTCTCTCACCGAGTTTACAAATGCTGCAGCACTCTACAAGGAAGAGGAACACCATTTCTACTTGCATCAGACTGGAACAATTGCAGGCTTTTTTTTTTTTTTTTTTTGGGACAAGTGTTTTGTTTTTGCTTGGCATAACTTATTAGTTTTTCTAGCTTAAACCATCTATCATTTATTTGAAATCAGAGTCCAGAATGTCAGGAGTTCCTGACAGGCATTTTGGGACATGGAAGTTTTCTATTTAAACTTCAAAAGGATGTGGTATTACCCAAACTGATGGCTGGGGTTGCGCCCAAGAGGCAGAAGGAATGAAGCAGAAAGCCTTTGCAACTCTTTCCTTGTCCTGCTGAGATGAAGGTACTACCAAACACTTTTGGCTCCACTGCTGCATGCCCTCAAGTGTTGTCACAACTAAAGGTTAGGAGAATAGGAAAACACCGTCAGGTGGAAACTGCTTGTTAAAGTATACATCAGTCAGGTAAACCCCACAAGAGCTAATCTGGATATTGACTCTGCAAAACAAAACACAACTCCTTGAGCTGGTAGAGTCACAGTTTCATAATCCTAGAGGGAAAAACATGGTTCTGTTTGATCCTGTGACATTTTGTTCCAGGAACCACACAGCCCTCCTTCCATGGTATTGCACTTCAGCTTCTAAGGTGCGGTAGGTCTCTGCAGCAACTTTTCACTTCAGGAGAGGCACCTCAGAAACAAATCTGGGGGCATATGGCTTGGCTACTAGCCCAAGTTTAAAAGCCTCTGTCAGCAGAGTAGACATGTCTTAACATGAGCAGCTAAATTCAGGAGTTGAATAAAAGGTGGCATTTTGAGAAGACATATTAAACAGAGAGAGGGACACCAATGGCAAGGAAAATACTGAGGATATTGGAGAAAGGTCTTAGAATAGGAAAGGAGTACAATCTTTTATGATGCAAGAGCCCAATTCAGGTAAGCAAGCAAGATAATTTGCAGTAAAAGGAAAAATGTAGTTCTAGTTACATTTCAAGTTATGACAACATATGTGGAGTTCTAAATGTACTATAATCTATTGCTAAGAAACTGTCACACAGTTTTAAGGAGAACGGCACCATAAATCTAGAATTACCACAAAGCATGCAGAATCCATTTGTGCTGAACTGATAAAAATCACTTGCAATGCTAAAAGTTTTTTTTGCAGGTACCGTACTTGTTTTATTCAATTTAATACAATTACTCTGATTAATTTGCAGGTAATATCATACTAATTAACAAAGTATGAGTTTTATTCTTTCCTAGCAAAGAAGTAGGAACCAGGCTATAAGAGGATATCATAACTGATCACGATCTCAATTTTACATGATCTAGCACTACCCAGTTATGTTTAACCTGAGTATTTTCTTCAGCCAGAGTGAGAAGGATTGGAGCAAGCACAACTGTGATTTTTGTAGTTTGGTTTTTTTTTTTTTGTTTTTTTTTTTTTCAGGACAGCACCATTACACAGAGCAATCACAAAATGACAGCCTGAAACCCATTTGGTTTGGTATAAGAAAGGAGACAATGACGAGAAACCTCTGCAGAACTCAACTAACTACAGAAGATATCTCATTTATTTAATCAGTAAATTTTAAATTAATAACATTTGTTAACTTTTTGCCTATGTATGCAGCACATTCAGCATAACTTTACATAACTTGTAACTTTAAAGTGTTGCATTTCGTTACTAGCAAAACTCAGTTTGACACAAAGTGAGGAGAAAACAAAGGAAACAAGTACCAGTCAGCATATTTACCATCATAACATAAAAAAATCAGCAATCTAAAGAACTGTCTAACAAGCTGCAAAGTTGTTTAAAAGTGAATTCAGTGTAATTTTTATTAAGTCAGAAGGAAGAACCAAATAGAAGGTAAAAAGCTGTATATAGTTACAAATCTGTGTTTTAAGGGTTACAAATTGAGGAGAACCAACCTTTCAACAAAAATCTTTGTCTACCACTAACAATAACCAATAATTAAAAACAACCGTTTAACCTGTATTGCTTCAAATCAGCAACTTCACACAGGCTTGATATCCACACTTGAAATGTGTTACAGAAACTGCAAAGCTTCAGGCAGTAAAATGCGACTTGTACAGTAACAGTTTTAAGACTCTTTACAAAGTACTCCATACTGAAGAAACTGGCAGGAGAATACAAGCTGCTTTGAAATTCCTCTTTAGCCCATGTGTTTATCAAGCTACTGGATAAAAAAAACAAGGATTTCAGAATCCTATATACTAGGTGTATAAATATTCCTATTACAGGCTCCCAAAAATTAAGCCATGAACTCTGTAGAAGTCTTAAACGTGATCAAATCAGGGTGATTTGTCTAAGGAATTGGCAAGAGAGGTTAGTTAAGTGCTCAAATTATCATTATGTGGTGCAAGGGAGCCCCATGTTAACAGGAATATCAGATTTTTCCTAGAGTCACAGACAGACTGAATTCTGCCCAAAACCAGTAATAAAAAATCTTTAGGAAAAAAGTTCACATAGCAAGTTTAGCCATTGCTGTTTAACTATAAGAAGGTGTTCTACGGTGGCAGGCTTTGTTTTGCAATAGAAATGCCTTTTGAAACTATTGAAAAGACAAATAATTATAGTAATGATTTGTGAAACAGTATCAAAAGAACATCAAGCACAGACTGGATTCATTCCTTCACTCTTCAGGCTATGCACACTATATGAGGATTTCCAGGAATATCTCCTTCTTTCAATCTTCTGAAAAAACACTCAGGCAATCCCAACTGTCTCACCTTTGAGAAGGACCACAAAGATGATCAGAGGACTGTAGCACCTCTAGCACCTCTCCTGTGAAGACAGGCTGAGAAAGTTGGGATTAAGCCTGAAGAAGGCTCCAATGAGATTTAAGAGAACCTTCCAGGACCTAAAGGAGGCTTACAAGGCTGGAGAGGAATTACAAAGGCATGTAGTGACAGGACAAGGGGAAATGGCTCCAAACCAGGAGTAGGGTTAGGTTAGATATTATGGGAAGAAATTTTTTACTCTGAGGGTGGTGAGGCACTGGAACAGGCTGCCCAGAAAAGTTGTTGACAACCCATCCCTGGAAGTGTTCAAGGCCAGGTTGGATGGGGCTCTGAGCAACCTGGTCTAGTGAAAAGTGTCCCTCCCTATGGCAGGTAGGTTGGAACTAGATGATCTTCACAGTCCCTTTCAACCCAAAACCATTCTATAAGTCTATTGACACTGACAGTGTACTACAGGATTATATTTTTTAGTCAAAACTCTAAATTAAGGATAATTCTGAAATAATCTTGGCCATTGACATATAAGCACAGCTTAAGGCAAACTATATCATGGTAGTCAAAACACAAAGACGGTGTTTAGATAAAACCAAGTGAAAAGATGAATGGCAACTTTACTCTTCCTGAGTTCCCCACCTTTTACTTTTGCCCTTCTGAAGGTATTACCCAAGCAGCTGATTACAGGACTAATTTCAAAATTCAGTCTGAAATAGAAACAAAGTATTTTGCTCCAAGTATATGACTTAAGTATCTTCATTTAAATATTCCACTTTAAAAGCTGAGCCATGTAAGTATACTTGAGGTGATGGCCTGAAGAATAATTCCATCTGAACCAGCCCTAGAGTATACTATAGCCTCTTATTAAGAACTGAAATTAAAGCAAGGGCTAATACTGTCAATACATGTCAAATATTTCCTAGTATGCCTGCAGAGGCTACTTGGCCTTGTCACTAACTGCTGTACCTAAGTTGTGTGGTTGCAATCTGTGACTTACAGGAGTACCTGAAGCACATTAATGTTATAGGCCCTTCCTGACTGAGGAAAACCCGTGTCTCAGACAGTATTCACAAAAACCTCCAACTAATAATCAAAGCCTGGTACTTATCCAATATTCTGATAAGAGTAGCAGTGGGGTAATATTAATAATTAACCTACCCCCCGAGAGAACAACTTACAGTTAAATATATTACAAACTGAGTTTAACATATCAAAAGTTGAGAAATACCCCGCTTCAAAAGAGTCACAGCCTATCAGTATAAAGGAAGAATATAAAACTATTTTATTGACCACTGCTCACCAGTATTTACAATAAAGTAAACAATATACAGTCTGATAACATTCAAATTACTACAAAGTTAGTTTTCACCTGGTCTTCTTAAGACCAAGTGATCCCAAATACTAAAAAGAATGACCTTACAGGTTTAAAGGGCTAGGTTGGGTAAAGAAGATACATGCACATCAATAGTATAGAAGACTACAAAACATCTGTGAGTTTGTTTAGACATTCATTATGATTCTGTAATAACTAAGGAAGTTTATCAATGTTTTTTATAAAAGCTTTTACCTAATATGGAGGAAGTAGTAGTATCAAATGCTCTCTTGTGGTAAATGAAACAAGTTGCAGAAAGCTTTTATTTACTTGCTGTTGATGCAAAACATACTACTTCAAAAAAATATCAAATTTGAAACTTGTTAGAATGTATGCTTCTCACATTGCTAATAAATCAAATTTTGGGTTTTAATATTCTTATATATAAAAAAAGCAATGCAAACAATTATTGTGCTTCATCTTCTGGGCATGAATGCCAAGTTAGCCGTTCTTCATAAAAAGCGATTACGATCTGAGGACACTTCACATTAGCTTCTTTGGCCAGCACCAGATCTGCCTCATCAGAGTCTTTCCTGATGTAGAAGAGAGTAGGATTTGAGAAAATTAATAATCAGTATTTCAAAACATTTAGCAGCTCTTCTTAAGTCCTAAGTTCTGAAAAGAATGTCAGCTAGAAATCAGTTTCCAGTACACCTTTCACTAAAGCTACCAAGACTTTCCATGCTAACGGTAACAATGAGGTTTCATAGCTCAATTTTTCTTCCCTTCCCATGTTTTTTCTGTTTGAAAGGAAAGTGCTATTCAAAGGCAATCAGTTACAAGGTTACGTACTGGAGCATGTAATGAAAGAAGTAAAACTCAGTTACTTTTGTCTTTTAAAGACTAATCAAAACTTCGAAGTAAGACTTAAAAATCAATAGGACCAACCAATCTTAAGAGCTGGTACTTACATGTAAATTACATTTACTGTTTCTGCAAGTAACTTCCTATATTTCATACTGTTATTCTTGATGCTGTCTTGGGCTAACAAACCAAGCTTGCCAGTCTGACATGACTTCACTTTGTTTTGAAGTGTATGCTGCCTTTAAAAGTCAGCTTTGTGCATACAAACTCATATTTATGTTTGTTACCTAAGACCAATTATGAAAAACTAATCAACAGTAACTGAACTAAACAAAAAAAAAAAAGTCCTCTGTGTTTGATTTTGCCAATTATCACTACAGAAATTCAAACACTCATGATCTTTATTTTGCAACTTTTCAAGTTTCACATAAAACTTGTGGAGAATTTGAGACTGCAGAAGGGAGACAATCTCCCACAGCACTAATCTTCAGCAGTCTAGGTAAATTGCAGGACAAATTGTGTCTCAGAGATCACTCAGTTAGACTCCATTCTGAAAATCTGCTCTTCTCAAAGGCTATGGAAAGCCATCCTTCTTATCCCATTACCTTAAGAGATTTGACTCTTAGCAAGTATCATTCAATCTCTTGATTTCTCAGCACTGGGAAGAAACATTAATTTTACCCCATTTGTTCACAAAGCAGGAAATCCTTCTCCCAACACTGTAGCTAATGAAGCTGGGTCTCCCCACCTACCCTCCCAACAACACAAACTCCCCACATCACTTTCGCCTCTTACTAGCCCACAATGTCAAGCCTCTACATATTGTTTATTCGTCTCCACCTCTGCTTTCTCCCCTAGTTGCTTCCAATTCCACTTTGATGCATACAGAACAGCTGGCACTATGCTTGGTTAAACAGCTGGCTATCCAGCAGCTGGGTTCTGCTTATTGAAACATGTAAAGCTGAATTTCTGCCTGCCATTCCCTCTGCAAGAGCACTACCAAGATCCAGTTTTTTTCCATACAAATGCCAATTTCTCCCTATTTTATCAGAAATTACCTTTCAAAGTAAAACTGAACCAACAGAAATGAAAGATATTTTGGGTTTTGAAAGAAGAGGGATTAAATCCTAACTGAATATAGAAAGCTTGTTTTTTGGAGAACAAAAGGTTAATAAGGAGACCACCAGCTTCTATGTCTTGCTCATCAGATGAAGTTGTTTCTTTAGGCTAAGTGCAGCTGCCTGCCCTCCCTTTATGGACAAGAACTGAGGATATAAGACTCACCATTTCATGAGGAACATAAGCTCTCCACTGCTATCCGTAGCCCCAATTATCCGCTCAGGATCAAGACCCCTTGCAAACCCTCTTGGTTTATCAACCTAGTAAGTTAGAAGATGGTTATCTAGTTTAAGACAAAATTCTATTTTGGTACTAGATACACAGATTTTTGTACATACATGCATGTGTGTGTTTGTGTATCAGAACGAAAAAATACAGCCTAAAAACCCCATCAAATCTATAATTACATAGTATTTTTTCATGACCAGTCTTCAGGCCAAGTAATTTAGAGGTAGGATAATAATAAAAGATTTTATATCCATGTTTCCAGCATTTATTTCTGAAAATATAATAGATGAAACAAATGGTCTAAAATAATTTCAGTAGATAAACACACAAGCATGGTCAGTAAAAATAACGAAAGCAGCAAAGTAAAAATGCATGCCTGGAAGTGGAAAAAACACATCCTTTCCAGCAAAACAACAGGCTTGGGTTGGCTAAACCAACAATGAAACTGCACCCTTGGGGAATACCTCAACTCTTCTTGGCTCACTGACATCACACTGGTGACAAAAAATATCACAACTATTTCCTGTATTAGCTCCTTTATAGGTTCACAAGATGCTTTTAGAGACAGCGGCCACTATTGTACCAGATGAAGCCAAAGAACTGACTCTATACAAAAAGCAAAATATTCTTTGTATTATTCATGAACTATTCTTTCTGATGCTTTCCAACCTTTTTGACAGTAACCACATGTCCAACTGCATGCCATCTTCAGTACATGAAAATGATTGGCAGTGTCAGGTTTCAAACCGCTAGTCCAAAAGTTTACGGAAGAAAATGTGAACTGTTGAACACATTACTACTGTGCATTATTCTGTACTTATCAGCACTAAATGTGTCAAGTTGCCTACACATTTAAACTGAAGGAGAAATCCAGACCTCTCAGGAAAGGAAAGCTTTTTACACTCCCCCCTTCTACTCCTTCTCCACCATTATGCCTGCTCCTAGTCTAAGTAACTGATTGGCTTTCACATTTTGCCATCTTGCCACTCACATTTAGTGTATGATTCAAAATCATATACTAAATATGGCAGCAAACCAGAACTTCATCTTTGTTCCTTCATGGACCTTTTGCTCTAATATAAACCTATCACTTAATACCATTAATTAATAACTCTTAACCAGTCTTACTTTCAATTATTCAGTAAGTGTTATGGGACAATGTAAGAACTTTTAATCACCATGTCAGTCAATCATCCTTTACTAACCATTTGGACAGTCTCTAACCATAATGAATGTGTACCCTTTTCAAACCACAGATCCAGATGCTATGAAATTTTTACAGTTTTAAATCAGTGTTCAGTCTCATTCTCGAAGTCACAATATGATTTTTGGGGGATGGAGAGGTAGGGGAGAGAGAGACGAAACAAAAACACATGAACATATACTTACAGAATCACGCTTTTTCTTTGATTTACTATCATCAGATTCGCTATCTGACAAAGATTTTCTTTTGGCACCATCTGTTTTCTCTTTACCAGCTTTCTGAGAGTTCAGAAAAGCTTCAATTAGCTCTGGACAATCTAAGTTCTCTTCAGGTTCCCATGTGTTGTCAGCACTGAAACATACACACATTTATGTAAAACTAGGTAAAGGAGAAAAATGTAAAACTAGCCCCATGGCTCCCCTTAAAAACAGCAACTTAATTTTTGTCTCACTATATAAGGTAGGTCTGTTAAACCCTATGGATGTTTATCTTGCCACATTTAGTAGCCTTCACATACTGCATTTGATGACTGAAAGGATGCTCCACTAGTATTGAAAAACAACATTCTTAACCGGAAGGTAACACAAAAAGCAGCTCTATTAACACCTGTGTTCTCAGTGGGGTATGAGAGTTGAAACGAGCAATCTGCACCCTACCAAAATTTAACTATTTCAACTGACTCACTTCCCTGGTTCCTCTAAAGACTGTTCATGAAAACAAACAATATGCTATGAGTACTAAGACTTACAGACAACAGAGTGTACAGAGCAGTCATTACAAACAGCCTAAGTATAAATACATAGATACATATATAGATATATATATATAAGCTTTCAGACATGAGGAACACTCTAAAGTTGTCTCTGAGCACTGAACACAACTATACCTAGAACTATCTGCTTCCTTCAGTTGACTGACTGCAGGAGGGAACAAAGGTGGGCAGAGCTGAGCATGGCATGTTTCAGTGAGTATGCATTTTGCTAACTGGAATTTTAAGAAGAACGTTCCCCACAACCACTATGCATCTCACGTGCAAATACTGGCACAGCACTACCACACCAGCAGGACACCTACAAATTATTTTCCATTACAATAACATATTATTACAAGTTCAAATCAGACCCTCAAATACTAAACACATTGTGCTTTGCATTTGTGCACACATCACTACACACATTTCAGGTTGCCAGAGTGCACAATGTTGCAATGCACTCACTTTAGGAGGTATGCAACAGTAATATCACAGCATACATAACCATTTATGCACAAATTCTTCTTTCAGCTGATAAAGCAAGCTGCCACAGTGTCACAGGAAGGAGGCACAACTATATTCCTTCTTAAACAATCAACTTCTTAAATCTACTGCATATTTTTCATGTACATAGGTAAGTCCTGGGAAAGACACTCAAAAATTCCTTTCAAGTATGCCTAATGAAGGCCACCATTCCACAGGCAAATTCAGTTAATTTGAGAACAGTTCAAGAAAATTAATAATAAGCAAACTATCTGCTTCAGAGCTGCCTGCAGTTTGCATTCCTGCATGATTTGTTACTCAGAAGTACCATTCATTCTGTCACATATATGATAACTCTCAGTCTATCTTACCTTGATAGCTATGGACACAAGCTCTACCAGAGTGGTAAAAGAACAACTGTTGGGAATTTTCTATGTGTGGAGATATGAGGTTTGATTTTATGTTTCTCAGAAGGCTGATTTATTATCTTATTATATATATTATATTAAAATACTACATTAAAACTATACTAAAAGAGAAAAAAGAATTATTAAAAAGTTACAAAAACCAAAAATAAAATACATAACAAAATCTTGTAATTCTCAGAATCTGATGCAGCTGCATCTGTGATTGGCTCTTAATTAGAAACAAATAACATGCACCAATCACAGACGCACCTGTTACATTCCACAGCAGCAGACAGTTATTGTTTACATTTCTTTCCTGAGGCCCTCAGCTCTCAGGAGGGAAAAATCTTAACAAAGGATTTTTCATAAAATATCATAGTAGCAATCAATCACTAAGAACTTGGTCAAAGTCCTCAAATATTTTATATAGCATGAACAATGAACTAAATTATCTTCTATTTTATTTTCATACTCGACTGTCCCACTTGACTATACATTTAAGGATGTCCTTCCCTCAAGGATCTTTGAAGTGGATGCCCATCATCCAATCTTCTGGCACAGTTCAAATCAATGGTGTTTACCATTCTATCAGACAAAGAAAAACAAGAAAAAAAGGAGTGCCTTACTCTGTAAATCCTTTCCACTTCAAGTAGTATTCCACCTTTCCATTTACAACACGTCTGTCCAGGACTTTCTCCACAACAAATTCTTCAGGCTCTGCCTCTTCAACTTTTTTACCTTTGCCATTCTGTTTCTTTCCCATTTTGTGCTACAAAAGAAATTCAGAATGACATTATTCTTTTTTTTTCCTTTGCTTTACACAGTTACTTCACTGGCTTATTAACATTAAAGCCAGAAGCTCAGACTCCTTTCATGTTAGTGCATGTGGTCAGGTAACCTGAGCAAGACATGGTAATCTTTTGGGTTTTTTCAGTTGCTTAATGAGATACCCAACACCAGTTTTTAAAAAGGTGAATTTTTTTTTGTCTACATACTCAGTGACTATACTCCCCTTAAAAATTTAATTCTCAGTGCTACATGCTCAAAACATCAGGAAGCTTCTAAAAGTTAACTCTATGCCTGTAAAAAGGCAGAGGGCAAGGCAGAAGTAAAGAGAAGTAATAAGGAAACTGTGAAAATGCATAAAATAGAGAAGGGATGGTATTGAAAAAAGGTGGCTTCTATCTTTCCCCAAAAAAATCTAAGGAGAAACTGATGGCAGCAAAGTTTATGATGAAATGCTACAATAAGTAAAATGCTCAATAATAACCCGCAACTATTGAACAGGACACATGCTAGCAGCATTCCATTACTGCAGTCCCTTCTAATTCTTAGTCATGCACCCATGTAACTTACAAAGAGATGTCACAAAGGTGCATAAATTTAAGACTGCTACACTTAAGTACAGCACTTAACACATAAATGGAATTTTGCTAACTTACAAAACTTTTTAAGTGTTTTAAAGCTTACATTTGATAGTTCAGGTAATATTCTTTAAGTTCTTAAAATAAATATTACATCCACATCATCCTCAAGGCATTCCCAGTTTAATAAGGCACAATTAAATAACAGTAGAAGGACACATTTCAGAATTTCCTTGTTCGTAATCTTAAAAAAGTTGGAACAAGCCTATCATGCTGTATCACAGTTCAGGAGGACTAGCAGACCAAAAGCAGTTTGCTTGCCATTTTGGACTGCACCTCATAAAGAAATTGTTAAGTGGCAGCCATAAACTAAGTATTAAACTCCTAAGAGTTATGCAGCACCCTAAATCAAAGTGGACAGAACTAATTCCTCACTAAAGCACTTCCTCTACAACACAGACAAGCAAATACCACAAAGCACCTCTATTTGCCTGATAGCCATTCTCTAGTCCTCTCTAATGTGGGTTAGTTTGACAACACTGCAATTTTGAAATTTTCAAGCTTTTAGACTTGATAGAATTTTGTCTTGATGCGGTGAAAGGTAAAAAAAAAAAAAGTATGTTAGAACAAAAACTGTATTCTTTTAGCGAAGACTGGAAGATGGTTCTCTTGCCAAAGCCCTGTCTTTGTACCCCTTATTTTTCATAATTAATTTTTCCCTCCCTCCCCAAAATACTTTACTCTTTATGGTTAGCAACCCATAAATTGAAGGTTCAAACAACAAAGAGGAGAAAAAGTTTCTAGTTTCTCATTTAAACAGAAAGTTTCTGTATATATCTCACATGGCCATAGTTTTGATTTGAGAGCATAGAAGAGAACAGAGCATGTATTTCCAATTAGATTTTAGGTGCCTGCATATCCCAGGTGTATTTTGACCACAGCATTCATGTCTGAAAAGTGTTAACTTAAGCATATTGGCTTTTTTTGCCTCCACAGGAAAAAGAATGCAAGACTGATATTGAAGGGAAATACAACATGAAGATGTCCAAGGCTTCTATGAGGGCAGCTTCTTTCAAAAAATGGAAGTGTGAAATAGAAAGGGGTAAATATGAGGAAAAAAACCAAATAATAAAAGTAGCAGAGGGAAAAACGACAACACAGAAAAAGACAGACTCACTATACCATAGTAATAACATTATAATTACTGGTGATGAGGCAAGCAGGCTACAAGTGGGGAACATCTCCATCTGTATTCTCCGTTGGACTAAAATTCTTTGATTCAGTGGAAGACTGTTTTCTGGTACTCTTTTCGGCTTCACTAATTCTTGTCACTTAAAGATCAATGTTTTGGATTTCTGTATCAAAGCAACAATTTGATTTTTTACTTTCTAAAATTTAAGTATCTTAAGTATCTTCCACAGAGGAAAATGAATGTCATGGGGGTCTGTATTTTTTTCTTGAAGTGCAGTAAGAAATAGCAAAATAAAGAGTATGCTGCTTCTGTTTTAAATATTAGAGATTTATTAGGTCTTGTGCATCGGCACTGCTCTTCAAACTCTTGAGCCTATTAAAATAATACTTGATTGCAGAGCCTGCAGAAATACTGAACATGTTAAAAACCTGTACATTCTGGGATTATACAAGCCCATGAAAATCTCAGCACACAAGCGAATTGGGACACCTGACTGAACTTAAAGCATAATAAATGTCCACTTGACCCCTGAAGCTCTCTTCTCTAGGGCTGCATGTTGTAAGCTGTAAATTGAACATCTGACCATTGAAGGCTAATGTATAGCTTGTTTCTCTTTCTGCATTCAGAAGTCATATGACACCACATATGACAGATGCAGATCTATGGATAATGTCTCCTTCTTTGAGGGGCAAGCTTAAAACACTGATGTGACACTGTGGTGTAGAATTTTAACATGTGAGATATAAGAAAATGGGAATTACAGCGCTAGAGCTACTCTATCCCTTAACACATTTAGGTTTTGCATGCAAATATATAACGAAGCAGAATTAGTTATGGTTCCCATGGGAACCATAACTGATTTTCCTGACCTGTGCAGCAAAATCCTCAACAACATCAAAAGATTAAAAATACTGCATTCGTAAGATTTTTTTCCTCCCTCCAAAGTACCCCTCCCCAGGCTGGCTAACTTCTCTTCTTCAAATTAGGGATAAGTGGACAATCAATTACTAACAGAAAGTTTAGACATTCACTTTGGTGAAATATTTTAAACCAGTACAACACAGAGGAAGCACTCCATTGCACTTCTAAGCCAGGAGTTAATACAAGTTTTGAATATATTTTGAGGTGAGTAATCATTTCTGTAAATTTAAGAACAGGCTTTTTGAGTGTATTATAAGTCAGCTGTTCTGCTATTGAAGTTTTGAATTGTGTGCATGTATTTTTTTGCTTACTTCCCCGCCTCAACCTCAGGCACATCTCACATTATACTTCTACAGGTCTGTCTTTCATGAAACTATGTATCATTATTAGTTGAACTGTAACCAGCAACCAACTGCCCTTAGGAGTCCATATTTTAATGTCAAGCAAAGCTTTAGAGGACTTGAGATCCATGAATGCATCATTAAAATGGTCCAGGAGGGGTTGACATCTGATAATCTCTGCTCCTATGAAATTCAAAGAAACTGTTATTTGTTAAAAAGCATTTCAAAAGGCATCTTAATTATGCCACATCATTTCTCAATAATGTTACTTTTCATCTGTAAAGACTGCCTTTTGTCAGGCAAATAGTTTTCTCCAAATACACTGGGAGAAATTAAATGAGTACATGATCTGGACTTTGTTTTTTACATGTATGATGAATTACATGGTATGCTGAAAGGACACTAAAAAAAATCCTCAGTGTTTTCTATTGTAGAATAGATGAAATAGTGCAGAGTCCTTTCACACTCTTTTCTCAAAAAGTTTCTCTTTAGAAATGGCAGATTTATTAAAACCAAAGACAATGTCCTTTCTAGTAGCCTTACTTTCTGGATCTGAAATTTTGGTCAGAATAATGCTGGGGAGGGGAGATGTGGATGTATCTTTTAAATGGAGATGCCAAGTTATAAGTTTGAAGAAAAATATGTTGATTAAATCCTTATATACTTTAGGTGTGCATGAACTTACCAATGTAGTTTTATTGGAGGCCATTTTTATTGCAGACTTGCAGAGCTTTTACTAGAAAAATGCATGACAATTAAAAGGAAGTTTGCATTACTCAAAGAAAGGCATCCCAAGACAAGCATGGTCCTTGTTCCAACCCCCATGTATTCACTGCATACAACATTTCTTACACGGATTAAATCCAGAACAAAAAGTAGGTTACTACTTTGTCTGGCATAACCCAGTAATGCACCATTAGGCTAGCCAGGATAAATGATACTGACAAGGTGGCATATCGAAGGCCCAAGGCCTTCAAAAGCATAGACATGTTTCTAGGGAAAAGGGGGAGGACCATCAGGGATGCTAATTTCCTTGAACCAAATAGAACAAGAGTTCAGATTCTAGCAATTGAAGATATACCTAAGTTATATTAACTTCAAATATCTGATGCGGAACAGATCTGTGGTGCAATGAATCACCCATTATTCTTACATGGTAGCAAATTCTTATAAACTGCAAATATTTATCTTAATGCAACTATAACGTTGCCTTCTGAGTCTCAAGTTGGCAAGAGTTAAGGTCCTAGAACAATATTAACTCAGCTAAGATGCACATACTACATATTTAACCTATGCAAATTACGTTGAACACAATCCATCCCCTTTTCCATGTCATTTCTCATACCGACCAGCTCCATAGGCATGTATTGTCACCGCCCCGCAGCGAGCTATAGAAATGCTAGAATTCCCCATATGCCTGGGTAAAGCAGAAAAGTCCTTTGAGGCCAGAAAGCCTCCCGGACTCAGCAATCCCGCCCAATCCTCCCCTGACACGGGAGGTGGATTTTGGCAGTCCCATGGGCGGTAGGGTAGGCGAGGTGGGAGAAGGGCCGGGGCCAGGGCGCCAGTGCCGAAGGTCTTGCCTTGTGTCCCCCGGAGAGGTAGCAGAAAGGGGTAAAAAAAAAAAAACCAAAAAAAAACCAAAACCCAAAACCCAGTAATAACCCCCCCACCCCAAAAGAGAGGCAGCCCTGCGGAGGCCTGCTGCGCCTCGGGCCTGAGGCGGGCGCACATGAGGCCGGCGGGGCCGCCCCGGGCGAGGTAACGGGGACACAGGCCCCGGGCCGCTTCCGCCGCCGCTGACAGGGCCCCTTCCACGCCGTCTTCCCCCCGCCCCTTCACGTTTCCCCCGGGCCTGGCACACGCAGGGACCGCCGGCGGGCCGGCTTTGTCTGCCGCGCGGGTAGCGCTGCCCCCGCCCCCGGCGCTGCTCTCCTTCCCCGGGGCGACAGCGCCCGCGGGTCCGGGGGCCGGCCTCCCTCCCTCCCCGAGCGGGTGCCGAAGCCCCGATTCCCCTACAGCTCCGCTCCGCCCGCCACCCCCCACCGCCAAGGAAGCGGGGGTGGGGAAGAAGCGGCGGTGGGGGGAGGCGGGCGGGTTGCGCTCCGCATCTCCCCGCGGCGGCCCGCAGCGAGCCGCAGAGGAAAGGGGAGTCAGGGAAGGGGACTCGAGGGTGAGTGGGGGGAAAGGAGGCGGCTGCAGCGAGAGAAAAGAGGGAGAGAGAGAGAGAGAGAAGGATACAGACTTCAATGGTGCCCAGCCGCTTGGGTCTCCTGTCTCCTCCTGGCTCCCGCCCTGCGCGCACTGAGCGGCGGCGGCAGCAGCAACAGCGACATCCGCGGGGGGCTGAGGCGGGGGGTGGGGGCAGGGAGGGAGAGAGAGAGGGAGGGCGGGAGGCGGAGGGCGGGGAGCGGCGCGGCGGTGGCTGGCGGGGCTGGGCTGGGCGAGCACTGCGCGCCGGCGGCTGTGACGGGGCAGAGCGCACGACGCCGCCGCCGCCTACGCGCGAGCCGCTACAACCTCCGACCGTCGTCGCCGCCGGCACAGGAGGGGGGCCAAGACGTCTCTCCAACGCGGGGCGAGCGCAGGACCGCGCCAGGCGTCCAAAAGAAGGAAGATGCCTCGCGGCGACAGGGAAAGCGACTGGGTAAGCCTCGGGGAGCGGACGGGGTTGGCGGACCCCGGGAGCCACGGCCGCCATCATGGCCGCCGCTGCGAATGCGCGCCGGGCCGATGCTGCCCGCCGCTGCGGAGCGAGGCCCTCGATCGGTGCGGCCGGGCGGGCCCCGGGCGTGGAGAGGGCGGTCGAGGAGCGCTGGTGTGGGTTTGATGCTCATTTGGAGGGGCCCCCTTGAAGCGCGGCCATTTCCCGCGTTGCGGCGGGGAGGCCTGGGCGTGAGCAAGGGCCGGGGGGAGGGAAGCGGGCTCGGAAAGCAGCAGGGCTCTGGGGCCCGAGAACTCATTCATAAGTGGGAAAAGGGATTGGGGGAGTCGGCTGGGGAGGCTTCGCTGCGGGCGGGAGATCCGCGGCTGGATCCGCGGTGAAGCTGAAAGGGAGGGGGAGCAGAGGGGGCGGGAAGAAAGGAGCTGCTCCAGCGCCATTTCTTTGGCGCGCGGGGCGGCAGCACTCACCCTTTGTCGCGGTGCGTGTACGGCCGCCGGAGAGGGAAAAAGGGAGGGGATGAAGGAGGGGAGGAGAACACAGCGGCGGAGCGGGCGGCACGCCCGATGCCGACAGTGCGGGGTAGAACGGAGCGGGCTGCGGTGAAGTCCGCCTCCCTCCGCCGGGACCCCGCGATATGTCGCACTTGTGCCAAAATCTCTGTAGCTCTTACTTCCTCCTGCCTGGGCGGGGGGGGGAAGGGGGCCAGGGCGAGGTTTCGGGGGGCGATGCGCGCCCGCCCCCGACAAATATTAACGCCGAGGTTTGAGCCTTCGGGGCCTTTTGTCAGTTTCCGGAAAAAAACCAAAAACAAGTTAAACGATGCCAGCAGCGTTCGAGGCCGCTTCGGCTGCGCTCGGGCACGTCTCGCGAGCCTGTCGGTTGTCGGAAACTGCCGAGCTGGCTGAACTAGTCGATGACTTGCTGCGTCTTTCTGTCCGGAAATTGCCGAGCTGGCGCCGAGCGCCATTTTCGCGTGCTGCGGCAGATTCCGGAAATTACCGAAGCGAGTCGAATGGGCTTCCATTCCTGGTTCGGCTTTTTCCGGCCGCTGTCGAAGCAGATAAGCTCGACGACGACAGCTCCTTCGGCTCATTTCGGAGACGGCCATTACTAACGGAGTCGATGACTTTTCATTACACGATAAAAACACGTAGGGGCTTTATTCAGAACTGCAGCCCCTTTGGAGATATTTAAGCTTCAGATACTGGCGCTTTTTTCCTTTTTTTTTTTTTTTTTTTTTTAATTAATTAAACCTCGGAAGCGAGCCCGAGGTGGAGTAGGAGGGCGCTAACACTACGCGAAGCTGAATTTCAAATTACGTAACAGCTCAGGCAGCCATTACCGATCGGTTGTACGGTGCTCTCGAGCAGGAATACATAAACCATGAAGAACATGGTACGTGGAATGGGAGGATTTAGAGCTTGCTTTTAAGGAGGGAGATGCGTTTGCTTGTGCAGACAGAGTGAATTTTTTCGGGGCTGAAAATTACAAGCAAGCTTGAGTTGTCCGCGCAAGTCTAGGTGCTGCTGCCGGGTCGCAACGCGGGGCGGATGCTGGATGTTTTTGCGCAGAGGAAGGTTCTGGAAGTGGCGACTGGGGCTGGCGCGCAGCCGGGCGAAGCGGCGGAAGCTGCGGCAGCGGCGCGTGGCGGACAGCGCGTTCTTGAGCCCGTGGCCATGGCTATTAGCTGCGCTGCTGCTGAGGTGTCGCAGGAGGAGGGGGAGTCGGAGCTCCGCGGGCTGCGGGCCGTCTTGGCCCCGCGAGGCGCGGAGCGGCCGAGGCGGCGCTGCGGGTAATGGCGGTGGCGAGGGGGAGGGGTAAAATGGCGGCCTGGCCGAGACTCGCGGCTGCGAGGGGCAGTGGGGATCCCTCCGGCAGAGCGGGCGAGGCGGGGGCTAGCTGTAGTCATCTGGTATGCACGGGGGCGAGAAGGAGCGCCGGAGAGGTGTAAGTACCGTGTGTGTAGGTGCACGCTAGAAGCAATTCGCAGCGTTCTCCCTGGAGGCGGCGGCTGCTCCCGGGCGCCATTTTCCCCGCCCGGCTCGGAGCTGCGGTGTTCCCGCTGCCGCCACATGGCGGAGCCGGCGCGGCAGCTGCGTCCCGGCGGCCACAGGCGGCGGGCGAGCAGCCGCTGTGGCATTGCAGAGCCCTGGAGTTCAGGGATCCCCCTCACTAGTCTAACTTAAATGTTTCTGTTACCCGAATTCTTAATTCCGCAGTAGCGTGGGTTGTGTGTGTGCACGTTACTGCTATATTAAACACCTTTCCTTGCTCTGGTGGTGAATTTTTCAGTAAAGGCTATGCGTTTTCCAGTGCTTTCTATTTGCTCTAAGCCTGTGAAGGAAAGCTTAAAATAACACACGGAAGAAGATCCTACAGAGGTAAAAAATTTCCTCTGGCTCCTGGTTCCTGCCACGGGATGTACTGTGGAAATCGTGAAAGAGGTGTTACCTCCAGCTTTTATATTGTGGCCTTTCCTAGGTATGAGGTGTCTTTACCAAAAGAGTATTTTCCTCAGGATTCTAAGAGGTACTGGCATGGTGGTAGTTACTGTTGTACATTTTATGCTTCCAGCACAAACTTTAGATGGGCAGAACTCCCTGGACTTTGGTAGGAGGTTAGTGTTACACCAGCCAGAGCTTCTTGAAACTGGCTCATTTAAGACAAATAGTTTCTCTGCATTAGTGGAGTAGCGTGTGTGCGCTGTTTTCGCACACTTGTTTTCATTAAAGAACTGGTAATGAATTTTGTTACTGCTGTTTTCTGACGTGTGGTGCCTAGATGTTCTAGGTAGATCATGTCCCTTAATACAGCTGTAGAATGCATTGCTATTCTGATCAATGTCTGTTAGTTATATGTAGTATATTTTCGTAATTGTTACAGCTGATAGATTCCATTCTTTCATTGAGTTCCATTTACAGGTTTATAACTGTTTTCACGGGTAAACGTAACACTGAAAATATCCTATCTGCCTACTAAACTTTCTAAATTTTCATATTTTTATAATAATGTCCTTTATTAAATGCGTGGTAATTTATTATATAGGAAAAAGTTTCTTTTGTAGATCTATGAAACTGTAAGCAGGTGGTCCCTAATTCTCAAGCAGCAGAAATAAAGGGAGGATTTCTACTTTTGCAGAATCGCTTAAAATTTTTTCTTCACCCTCCTACTCAAATTTAATTCAATAAATAATAGTGGGACATATGGTGAATATATGATGTTTTTTAATACTGATCTGGTGTGCAGTGTTCTCCATTTGTTCCTTTTATGCTATGAGGTGAAAAGAAATTAGTTAAAACACGTGTGTGCTACTTTTGAACACTTGTCTTATTTTGCTTGTGTCTGAGACAATACTAGTTTTGCTTGTGTTCCTAAAAGGAAAAGAACTAGATTCAACAGCAGATTCCAAATATTTTTCAAGAGAAATTTGAACTGATCAGTCTTAAACAGAGGATGTGTTTGGAAGAAGGATGGGAGAAAGTTGACTTGCGTGTCAGACTGTAGTATGTCAGGCTGGTAATACAGAGGCGCATTTGAAAAAAACCCTGGGTTGTCACTGCCTACAGTAATTGTGGTCTGTTATATGCATCTTGATCCGAACCTGCCTTGGACAACCTCAGAAAATATGTTGGTCTGCATTAAAATTGGCTTAATGCTTCCAAAAGCATATGTGTACTGAAGTAATTTGGTTGTTTTCTTAGTCTCAGTGTTTTTTTAGTTTTCTTTTAAAATTTTTCTTAATTCCCATTGCACGGTTAATCATGTTTTGTTTGTCAGTTACACCTCCTGGTGCAATATTTGAATTGTATAAAAAATAACCAGCACACTAAAGAAAACACACAACCAAACACTCAAGCAGATTTTCTTGATTTTTAAAGTTAGTTAACAGTATAAAGCTGAAGTGATTTGGTCTCAGTTCTCATGTCCCTAGCGGAACAGTTGTCTTCAAAACAACATTCCAAAAGAATAAATGTGTGTAAGGGGACTACTTGTTAGTGCATTTTTAAGTGTTTGGCATAAAATTTTTGCATGTATGAGCTAGTGATACTTTTGTCTGTAGAAACTGGCAATTAAAAGGCCTGCTTCATATAAAAAGTTACTATAAAAGTGCTTTGAGTTGGAAGGTTCTCATTTCTACTTTAGTTTACCAGTAAATACAAAAAAGTAAATGCAATACCTTGTTACTGATCCTGGTTTTTGTTGGGTTTGTTTTTATGATGCTTTTATTATGTTTTTATTATGTCATTGCATAAATGATCTCTGCTTAACAAGTGCAGTGATTGTTTCTCTGCAAGAAAGAAAAGTCTTAGTGAAAGTGTGACATTAGTGGATATGAATATGTATTATTCACATTTCTATTTTTTAGGAATTATTTCAATGGTGCTCCTGTTGAGGGTGTATAGGTTTGTTGATAATTCCAGTGGTGTGGGATCCCAGATGAATTTTACAGGTGCTTGAGTTTCATTTTAGTAATTAGGGAGAAAATATGAATTGTTAACCTGTTACAGAACATATTTAGATACATTTAGTTGATTTTTACTTATAATGCCTTGGATGAATAGTACAGTAGTGTTAATGTAAAACAGTTTAAGCCAGAATGATTTTTAGAAATGAATGTTACCCAGAATAGAATCAGACAGTATAAATTAATTAATATTTTCTGTAGTAAGAACAAACCCCAAAGTTCTCATTTTCTTTTAAAAGCATCTCATATGGGTCTTACAGAGGAATATTCTGAAAGTCTTCAAGCGTGGTCCCTTGTTCTTGATATCTAGAGGGAGACACAGGAATAAGGACTAAAAAAAATGTGTATTTTAAAAGTGGACCTGTAGAATTGTATAAATTGCTTAATTTCTTTAATAGGGGTACAACCTTTAGAAGAACCAGGTCTCATTTTGAAAATAAGTCTTACTGAAAGTCTTTGACCCTTCTGAAAATCTTGGTTAGTGTCTGATTTGCTAATGCAGAAGAGGTGTTTCAAATTATATTTATGTATTTTTTTTTTCTGTGGCAGAGGGAAAAGGAGCAGTTCCGCAAACTGTTTATTGGCGGCTTAAGCTTTGAAACCACAGAAGAGAGCTTGAGGAGTTACTATGAGCAATGGGGAAAGCTTACAGACTGTGTGGTAAGTTTAGCATACCAATACATAGCAATGGCATGTGTAGGATTTTTAAATGTTTGTTTTCTGCATAGCTTAGAGATGATGGAATATTAGCTTTTAATGGTACAGTTGGTGGTTTATACACAGTTCTGTCCATTGTAGCAATGCATAAATTTTTTTCTTGCAAATTTGATAGAGAAAATCCACAATCTGTTTTCTTAAAATTCTCCCAGATAATTAAAAAAATTAACCACTTGATTTCAGCAGTTCAGCTTTTGTATCACTGTCCGAAGTGCATTAGGAAGAGCTTACAGAGAGCACTATTACATCTGGGTGGTTGGTAACCTTTGGCAAAAAAACGGTGGCTTGGTAAGCAGTAAGCAGCCTCAGTAAAGCTGGAAAAGGATGTCTTTGTGATGTTTTCATAGAGTTGTTGAGGTTGGAAGAAACCATTTAGGTCATCGACTTTTTAATCAAGCACTGACAAATTTATCACTAAACCATGTCTGTAAGCCCCGAGTTTGTGTGTCTTTTAAATACCAACAGGGATGATGGCTCTGGTAGAAGTTCTCTGCTGAATATTCCTGGGAGTATTAAATCTCAACACAGATTTAAAGTCTATGGTCTTCATGAAGCTTAAAAGAAATTGTGTATGTTTTTTTTTGCAAAAACCAACACAAATATAAATGCATGTCACTGATCTAGCAGCGTTTCTGAGTTAACTGAGTCTTGGAAGACAACAGTGGTTTGAATTTCTTTGATCCCAAGCAGTGTCACTCATATTAAATCAACAGAGTTTGCTCCTTATTGTAACTGTTTTGAAATCAAACCAAGGAAGAAGTATATTAAGTTACACACTTAATATTGTTTTTGCAAAAAGTTTAACATGAGACAGGTATAAATAGTTTAAATGTCTTTATTGATTTTAGGTAATGAGGGATCCTGCAAGCAAAAGATCAAGGGGGTTTGGTTTTGTAACATTCTCTTCCATGGCTGAAGTTGATGCA